CACAGTTCCATCACTCAAATACAAAGACATTCAGGTACTCCGGTACTCAACAGACATAACATTCACAGAAATGTCACAGACACACAGTTCCATCACTCAAATACAAAGACATTCAGGTACATCACAGCTACACTCCGGTACTCAACAGACATAACAAACACAGATTTATTGCAGACACACAGTTCCATCACTCAAATACAAAGACATTTAGGTACATCACAGCTACACTCCGGTACTAAACAGACATAACATTCACAGATATATCACAGACACACAGTTCCATCACTCAAAGACAAAGACATTCAGGTACATAGGGATGCCTGACAGAAAAAAAACAAATAGAAAGAGATCTAGTGTCAGATTGGTTTGTTATTTCAGGGTTTTGAAGAGAGCACAAGTGGAACAGCCAGACATGGTACAGGCACAGAAACAGCTGGCATCAGAGTGAGTTGTTGTTACCTTTTATCCATAATTTATAAGGAAATATTTTTGGTGTTTTCATTTCTAGTTCTTATTGTATTGGTATCTTCATACAAACATATGAAATGATGACTTAACCCTTTCATCCCTATATAACTTCAGTAGACTCTACCATGCATTGATCTGGATGAATCCATTATGGTCTACAGTGGCAAAAGGGTTAATTAATGTATTTTGTTACAGTATCTGTGTACAGATGGCCGAGCAGACAACACAACAGCGAGACTACGACAAAGCCATCAAGTTCTACAAGGAGGCTCTTGTCTATAACGACAATGACAGCAAGGTATGTCACAGTGGGCATGGCATTGTCAAAAATCATTATAGAAAACAACAATAGAAGTGTCTTGTCGGTTGAATGCTGTCGAAGCATTTTATCCTCGTTTGAAAATCAATCTGAATCAATTAGATCATACTTATAAAATATATCCCTCATATTGTTTGGTTTACACTTTTAAGGGTGATTCAAGACAGGAATAAAATCAGTGCTGTTGTAAAATAACATTATCTAGATCTGATTGGTAGAAAGTCATTGATATAAATCAATATTGAATTGTCAATATTAATGGGTATAATGTTTTCTACATTTTGTGAAAGAGCAAATACTGTTTATACCTCAACGGCACTCTAGTATGTTTCACCAGCTGGGGTATAAAAAATACTGCTATTACCATAAGTTTATAGATGAACATGACTCGTGGCCGTGCATATTTATGCAGTTACAGGGGCTTCCCTAATTCTGATTCGTGTATAATTTAGAATACATGTAAGATGTTTTATGTGAATGCTGATCAAATATGGATCAGGAGATGGACAATGTTCATCAGTGATGAAATAGAATTTAGCTCTGATTGGTTGATGGTTGATGATTTTGGAGTACAAGTAGAAATGACCCAGTTGATGTTTGATTGTTCACAGGTGATGTTAGATGTGGCTGGACTGTATCTGACCACAGAGGACCTGGACTCGTGCCAGCATCAGCTCATGACGCTCCTTAAAAACGAGAAAGAAAATGACGCAGCAACCATTGTAAGAGTTTCTTTTGAAAATGCAGAATTATTTTTGGTGTAAAAATGAGTAAATCCATGTATTAAGGAAGAATTTGCATAGTTCAATTTGAAGATTTTGGTATGGTAAGGTATTGTATACTTTTGTGATTAAATACTTCCCCTAAAACTGCTTATCAATGTTCAAAATGTTCTTATTTGTCGTGATCATGGTCGTTCAATAGACTAATTTGCTTCTGAAAAAATATGCAAATTAAATGTTTTTGAATACATTGTATTAAAAGGAAAATCAGTCCCATGATATTGGTACATAGGAAACTATCCTTTATGAGTCGGAACATCATTCTTTAGGCTTGTTACAAACTGATGATTTCAGAAATTGTTTTTGAGATATTTCTCTCTGCTGTAACAGATGCTGGCTGACCTGATGTTTAGGAAGAACGAGTATGACTCTGCCATGTATCACTTCCAGCAGCTGTTGACAATTAAACCAGGTACATATTCAGGATATTTTTACCGTCACAGAATAGGGTTTTTGATATATAACCAAAATGTAGCTGTTCTTTTAAAATTCTAGCTTCATAAACAATCACATCAACATTTGATTCTGTTTTGTAAAGTCCTGTATGACAGAACTTTAGAAATTTAGGACTGAAAATCTGTAATAAACAAAAGAAGTATTGCCTTGTTTTTACTGTCAGTTTCACTAGATGTGGTGAAAATGCAAATATAAGTACAGCAGATATAAACAATCGAGCTGTCTTAATTGTAAACATGTTAAACACAGTCATCTTTCCTAGATTTGTTCCCAACTTTTGTTGTTTTCTCAGTACTTGTGTTTCCTACTCCAAATTGTTTTGTGACATAAGATTGAAGCCCTTTATTGTTTATTTGAACAGACCACTATGAAGCGCTCTCCAGACAGATCGACCTGATGAGAAGAAATGGTAAATTAGATGAGGTACCGAAATTTTTGGAGCAGGCTGAGAATGCATCGCCAAGAGCAACCCTTGATGCTGGATATAACTACTGTAAAGGACTGTATGAATGGTCAGTATAGAGATGTAACTACTGTAAAGGACTGTATGAATGGTCAGTATAGAGATGTAACTACTGTAAAGGACTGTATGAATGGTCAGTATAGAGATGTAACTACTGTAAAGGACTGTATGAATGGTCAGTATAGAGATGTAACTACTGTAAAGGACTGTATGAATGGTCAGTATAGAGATGTAACTACTGTAAAGGACTGTATGAATGGTCAGTATAGAGATGTAACTACTGTAAAGGACTGTATGAATGGTCAGTATAGAGATGTAACTACTGTAAAGGACTGTATGAATGGTCAGTATAGAGATGTAACTACTGTAAAGGACTGTATGAATGGTCAGTATAGAGATGTAACTACTGTAAAGGACTGTATGAATGGTCAGTATAGAGATGTAACTACTGTAAAGGACTGTATGAATGGTCAGTATAGAGATGTAACTACTGTAAAGGACTGTATGAATGGTCAGTATAGAGATGTAACTACTGTAAAGGACTGTATGAATGGTCAGTATAGAGATGTAACTACTGTAAAGGACTGTATGAATGGTCAGTATAGAGATGTAACTACTGTAAAGAACTGTATGAATGGTCAGTATAGAGATGTCGTTACTGTAAAGGACTGTATGAATGGTCAGTATAGTGTAACTACTGTAAAGGACTGTATGAATGGTCAGTATAGAGATATAACTACTGTAAAGGACTGTATGATTGGTCAGTTTAGAGATGTAACTACTGTAAAGGACTGTATGAATGGTCAGTATAGAGATGTAACTACTGTAAAGGACTGTATGAGTGCGAGCTAGGTCTTATATTTTATTCATTGATGGTATAGTTTTTATCATAAGGCTTAGCTGCAGAATGCTTTTAAATGTATAATAACAGATGATCTTCGAATGGTCACTTGTCCAAACTTAAGTGTCATTATTCCTTGAACAGATTTGTACAACCTGTTTATAGTGAATGTGTCTAAACTTAATCCTGCCAGATTAAAAAGCCAATTACAATGCTACAAATGTACAGTCTTGATGTCTAAGATTAAGGTCATGAAGATCACCATTCTTAGTGTCGAAACATTAAACTGCTGATAATATCTTCAGGGGGTGATAAAACAGGTAGAATATGTTCATTGTAAATTCTTACTTATAGAGACATCATAGTTTATCCCCTCGCAAGGAACAATCCTATTAACATCAACCTCAGTTATCTGCCTTTTGGGAAATATTATCCTAGGTCTTTGGGTTTGTTATAACTTTGGTATTGTTACTTGATAGTATCTTATGTATACTGACGAGCTGTGAAAGGGATATTACACATGATATCAAGCTTGTGTAATATAAGATTTTTAAACATATTGTTCATCATAATAATATCTTATTATCGACTTTCCACATAGGTATACAGGAAATCCCACTGCAGCCCTCAAATACTTCAACAAGTCGAGGAAGGACTCAGATTGGGGAAACCTTTCCATGTACAACATGATAGAGATCTGCTTGAATCCAGACAATGATACGGTCGGTGGGGAGGTGTTCGAGACCGTGGAAGGCGATTCTGCAGGGTAGGCTAGTTCAAGATATACATGAAAAATATTTAAATGGAAGTGATACATGGTGCTGCTTATTGAGACAAAAATGTATGGGCAAAATGTTATCTGTATATACAGAATCTACAAATTTATACTGTATGTAATATTGAAAATTGAAATATACAGTTTAGGATAGCTTTAAAACAACTACTTAAACAATAACTGGTTGTCTGGATGTAATTATTGTTGACATAATTACAAGTGGCAAATCCTAGCGGGTTTCATGGGATTTGCCAGAGGCCACTTGTAATTATAGCAACAATAATTACATCCAGACAACCAGTTATTTTTTATGTTTACATATTTTTCTTTTTTAAGACATATTCCTACAAAAACCATTTGCCCTGCCTCAAAATACATTTCAGGCGGCCATTTTGTTTGTTTACATATTCCTACACCTGAAACAGGCAGTTGTAATTATAGTCGAGCAGTTGTAAATTATAGCCTATATAATTACACTTGTCCTCTAACACTGTTGTAATGGGACGGCGCAGGGGCAAATGTAAATATAAAAAAAAAATATGTGACGTTTTGTCAACTTTGACATCATGCATGTGACTAGTGTGTTGTTTCTCCTTCAGGGCTAATGACAAAGCTGATAGTGAACAGATGGCAGTGCGTACCGCAGAGAAACTTCTCAAGGTAAAAAACTAAAAAACGGAATGATTGTGTGATTGCTTTTTAGGTCACCTGAGCTTTAGCTCAAGTGACCTATTGCTATCCGTTTTCGTCCGTCGTCGTCCGTCGTCCGTCGTCCGTTAACATTTTACATTTCAAACTTAAAGTCAAGTTCTGCTGGGCCGATTGAACTGAAAGTTGGTAGGAATGATCGCCTCATGGTCCTGACAAAGTGTTGTTATTTTTCGGGTCAATCAGAAATACAATTTGGCTGCCATGGCCGCTATTTTGCTACTAAGTTCTAATAGGCCGATCTCACTTAAAATTGGTCTAGGAATGATCAGCTCATGGTCCTGACAAAGTTAAGTTAACATTATACTATTTTTTACTCAAATTGGTACATATTTCAACAACAAAAATAAATACTATAGACTCAGGTGACCGTTAAGGCCCATGGGCCTCTTGTTTTATTTTTTACCACCAAGCATGACAAATGATGTTGAAAATGCATTCTGATATTGTAAGGTTAAATGTTCAGATTGTGTGAAGACCTACACTGTCGATGACAAATTTCAATTGTTCTTTCATTGTTCAATAATTGACAGATAGCACAGGTCAATTAACAGTATACATATGAAGGAGCTAGTTGGAAATCTAGCTTATACAAGTTAACAGGTTACACAGGATACAGTTTAGAAAAGTTAACTGTACTATATCAGGATGAAAATATAGTGAAATGCCAGTTTCTACAAATAAGTTACATTTCTGCAGGAGCTGAAACCTAAGCCAGGAGACATCCGCCCCAAACTGCTGGAGAACATGACACTGATCGCCACTAAACAGAAGGCTAATGTAGAGAAGGCCCTAAATGCCTTCCTGGAGATCTCCACTAATGAGGTGAGGCACAGAAAGCCACAATACTCTGGTGTGTGTCATATAGTAAAGTAGGAAAGATATTCTATAGAAATGATGAATCATTCCATATTTACTTCGACACAACAGCCTGTTTTTTATGTATAGTCCAGCATCAGTTTCACATTAAATAGTGCACCTGGGTCTTTATGTAAAGTGTTAAAATACCGGTAAGACAAACTCTTAATAATTTTAATTAATAGGGAATTAGTTTTACACAAATTAATCCATCATCACTGACTACTATATACCAGTAAATTTTTGCCTCAGTTTTGCTTCTTTTTTTCCCCCTTTCTTCACATGGGCATTTATCGTGACAGGGAACATAAATACCTGATCATGCCGTATATAGTTTCTGCATGTAAAAGGCGAAATTAACACTAGGCAAACATGGATTTTCACAGCGAAGGGCGAATATTTGACTGAGCAATAGTTTCTTGGTATACAGTAATTTGCTTTACATTCTTTTATTAGGAAACTGGAGGAATTAAAACACTATACTAACTGGATTTTCTCTATCTTTTATGCATACATGATTGTGAAAGAAATGATCACGAATACATAATTGTAAATAAATAACACATTCTGTTGTAGCGAGACCATGTTGGTGCCCTATATGGCATGGCAGCAGCCTACATGGTACTGAAACAGACTCCCCGGGCCAGGAACCAGCTCAAACGCATTACAAAGAATAACTGGACAATGCAGGCTAGTCCTTTTTTTCTTGTTCACATTATCTGAATTATAGGTGTGTAATAAAAAATAAAAATGCATTAATTTTAAGTCAATGTAAACAAATGTATTGATATTTAGGGTGTCAAATAGTGACACATTTTGTTGTGTCCACACTGGACTCATTGCAGGTGAAATACAGCTAACATTACAGGATAGGGAGTAAAACCAGATAGTTTAAAACTATTCAGTATAATTTGAAATATCTTTTTCAGGATGCAGAAGATCTTGAGAAGAGCTGGCTGTTACTTGCTGATATTTATATACAGGTATCATTCTATATCATTTTAATCCTTCTTTAATCTGTAAATCATTTTAGTTGATTAAATAAATCTAGTGGTATAATGATGATTGATTATAATGGAAAATGGATTGAATGGGCCCTGAGCATCATGTTAGTTAATATTCTAATTAAGAAAACTTTGAAAATAGGGGGGGAAATATGTGAGAAAGAGAAATGTATAAAATTTGAAAGATTTCTTGTTAACCTGTAATTGATGTAAAGATGTTTCCAATAGAAAATCTATAATAAAATCAGAATAAATAAGTATGGTAGCGGAATAACAAGAGGAATTTTGTACAGGTGCAACACCTTGAAAGGTTGATATAACAATGTGATAGCACTATACAGTAGCCATACATGTTACTGTACATTAACTTTTTATTATTATTGTTTTGTTTCAGTCTGCAAAGTATGACATGGCTACAGACTTGCTGAAGAGGTGTATAACACACAACAAGGTAGTGTATACCATCTGGTGTACAGGGATAGCTTTAGCATCACCAAACAAAACATGAAAAAATAACATACATTATATTTAGCCTTTACAATAGTATCCCATGTATATATAAATACAAAACAACCTTCATTAAGGAAAAGGTCTTACATAATGAATGATTCCGATAGATTTATCTCTAAAGACATTTTTTTCTGAACAAAAAGGTTTAAACGATACTTAGACAATAACACTGCATTAAGTGTTGGTATTAATATTGCCTCTGTATGAATTGAAAGGAAACAATTGTATCAAATTTGCAAAATTGGGACATGTAAAGATAATAAAAAAGCATGTAGTATTAAATGCCTAGTGGGGATGTACATTTATAAAGGGCTTAATCAGAACACTGTATGCAATGTGTGTTTTATGTGTTTTCAGTCCTGCTGTAAGGCACACGAGTATATGGGCTACATCATGGAAAAGGAACAGTCCTACAAAGATGCATCTTCTAATTATGAGTCGGCTTGGAAATATGGCAACAAAAACAACCCTGTCATCGGTAAGTCTGTACCTATCGTCGTTATTGCTGTTTTGTTTTTTATATTTTGAAATTGGTTGAAAATATGTTTGTATTTCAGACAGATCAACCAATAAGTGCATTGTACAATAATGTGTGGACAATGAGGGATTCACTATTTGATTTGATTTTTCTTTTCCCATAATTATCTTGTTCGTATCTCCCTGTCCTCATCAGGAAATTACTTGATTACAACAGTCAACTGTTGAATTTTTACCTGAGTTGTGGTGTTTGAAGCACTGTAGGATATCTTAGATAATACATCACTCACTAGAATTATATACATTGTGATTTTGTATTTCAGGTTTTAAGCTTGCCTTTAACTACATGAAGGCCAAAAGATTTGTGGATGCTGTTGACATTTGTCATTATGTAAGTTTGTCTCATTTGGATTGAAACAATTTGTATTCAGTCATTGGTTAGTAGAACTAGTTAGCATTTCTATGTTTCTGTAGTGTTAAGAGTGGTCACCCATGCCCCCGAAAGAATACCAGTCTTTCTCTTCGTGTCTTTCCAACATGCTGCTACATTGATAACAGCTGGATAGACTAGAACAGAATAAAGTGACTTGTTTTAGACAACAACAGATATGCTGTGTAATTCTATCCATAATTTGGAGTTTGATTTTGATATGTTTCTGGTAAAACTTATATTCCCACAAGTGTTTCTGTCCTCGCCAGTGCAAAAAAAAAAAGCAAAAACATTCAGCTTCACAAAATTTACAACCAAATTAATGGCTACAACTAATGTTGAATCTCCAAAATTGTTTTTCTAAAACAGAATATTCTGATTGGATATTGTTTTACTTATTGATATGTATGTAGCTCAATACATAATTCAATACAGCACATGAAAATGCACTGTGAGGCAAAAGTGCCTCTTAAGGCAATATACCTTTTTTCCGGCTTGTGTTTCCCTAGGCAATGCTATTCAATTAACTGTTTAGTCAGTAGTATTTTACTTTCATTTTGTGTCTATTTTACAGGTTTTAGAGGGACATCCAAACTACCCAAAGATCAGAAAAGAAATCCTAGAGAAGGCCCGAGCCAGTTTACGAGTGTGACACTACTTACAGTGTAGAAACTAAACTGTGTTGTCAGAGATTGTGTGAGCTGAGGACATTAAATGGTTACACTGGATTATACTGATTTAAACACGACGTCTTCAGTGGCCCTTATGATAATGCACACTGCCATTATTTGTGATACCATGCCACATCAAAGTTGTGGACAGAATTTCGTAACATTTGTTAAATTCTGACCTGGAGTGAATGTTTTTTTTTAAATTTATTTTATGTGTATGAAACACAGTATTAAGGATGTTTGTGTTTAAACAAATCTATTCAAATCACTTCTGTTATTTCCTGGGGAGTTACTGAAGGAATACAACATTTTCCAACACAAGTCAGGTCACCATAATTTAATGTTTTCATTATTTCGTGATAGAAATATTTTCACATTGATTCATAGGAATTTGTTTTTAAAAACCTTACTTCTTTCAATGAAAAAACTATCTGTATTTTTAATCTTGAAGTACAGCGTGAAACATGTCAAAAACACCTGAAGGGTGAAGATGGGGTCCAACGCCTTAAATTGTCACAGAACTGACATTTTCATGAAAAATGAAGTTTTCAGGGAGTAAAGGCCGTAGAACAAGTATGTTTGGTTTATAGCGGTAAAGTTGTATTTGTAACTGCTATGGATGCAAATATTCTGACAATTAAGACTTGTGTGTTATCAACAAATCAATTTTGCATGACATGTTGATTGTTCATGATTTGTTAATATTTCAAAGTACCTAATCTTATTTATTTGAAACTTTGAAAAAAAATCGGCAATGAGATCTGAAAATCAATTTACAAGGAATCTACACCATTTGTGATATATATAGTTTTGTATTAAGAAATCTCACGTATATTGTAATCTGTAAAATAAGATGAACAATGGAAATGTTACACATAGAGAAACAATGAGAATGCTATACATGATGTAGTGCTATGTTACTCAACTTACCTATTAAGTTATTATTTTTATGTAATGAAGCTGTTTATTTACATTCCGTCCATTATATATAAACATACATTCCAAAAACGTTTTGTAGTGTGTTGATATATAGCAGATCTAAATGTTGATTATAAGGTGTAGCAAAGTAAGATTCGGAATAATTTAATTTCATCTTGGAAAAAGAATAATAAAGTTATTTGTTTTGAATAACAATCTGCTGTCTTGAGTCTTGACCACGACTGTTAAAAAACAAGGTAATTCCTGGATCATCAAAGGGAGACTTTTAACAAGGTAATTCCTGGATCATCAAAGGGAGACAACTGAATAAGTGGCCATTCATGATAGGATTGTTTTGTGTTGGCAGTGTCTATTTGATAATGTGTCATGCTCATGGGTGCATATTTCACAGGGATTTGGAGAAGGTAAAATTAGCACAAAAATTGCATGCACTAGTGATAGCAATTACAGCAATGAATTATAAGTGATGAGACCATCAATAATCCTTTGTGCTCCACTTAATATTTCAAACATCAGATTCTTCTTGATACAAATATATTGTGATCTTGATATCCCTGATATGAAAATTATTTTCAAGATGATGCAGTCATTTTAAAAGTATGACTTAAATAAATATAAACCAATGTTTTGATGCTGTCTTGGTGATTTATAATACAGAGTAACATTGAACAATCAGAAAGCTTTAGCTTACCTGCCTCTAAGTGTGCTACTGTACTATAGGTCATTGTGAAAAGATATACTAGTGCAGAATAGCTGAAGGAATATTCACTGATTTTGATAATGAGCATCTCTTGACCAAGGAAATTCAAAGTTAAATGAATGGAAACAAAGGCTGTGACTCCCTTAGGGACAGAGGGATGGGGCCCAATAACAGGAAAGGGGTTACATTTTTAACCCACCATCATCTGATGGTTGGCTATTCAAATCGCCCTGCGTCTGGTCCGTCGTCCATCATCTGTCCTTAAACAATTCTTGTTAATGCTATTTCACAGAAACTACCAAAGGGATCTCTTTCAAATTTTATCCGTAGGTTTACTTTTGAGACTGATCAGATAAACAAAATAGCTGACAGGCAGCCATCTTGGATTTTGACAGTGAAGGTTTGTTATGGATATTTCTCAGGAGGTACTGGAGGGATCTTTCTCAAATTTGACATGTAGATTCCCCTTGGTCCCTAGTTGTGCATGTTTACCTTTGAGACAGATCAGATAAACAAAATTGCCGACAGGCAGCCATCATGAATTTTGACTGTAAAGGTTAGTTGTCACTATTTCTCAATTAGTACTGGAGAGATCTTAATCAAATTTGATATGTAGGTTCGCCTTGGTCCCTAGTTGTTCATGTTTTCTTTTGAGACTGATCTGATAAATAAAATGGCCGACAGGCTGCCATCTTGGATTTTGTCATTGAAGGTTTGTTATAGCTATTTTTCAGGATTAATTGCATGTTTTATTTTGAGACTGATCATATAAACAAAATGGCCGAAGGAAGAACTTAACAGATCTTTCTCATATTGCAATGTTCAGTTCTATTTCTTTCACATTAAGAATTATACTAGTAAATATGTGGAATGACAAGCTCACTTTGAAAGTTGTCTTTTATACACAGGGATAAGTTAAGTCCAAAAGTTACCTCATGGTGCATTTACTGTTAACATGACTCGATCATACAGATAAGAGAAAGGAAGAGAAAATATTAAACTGACAAAGAACTAATGAAGATGGTACAATGGTGGGCGCCAAGACCCCTCTGGGATCTGTTGTTAAGGTGAAGAGAACTACCGTCAAGTTATAATATAATTATTGGCATTATTATGGAATATTTAAGTAAGATTTTACAGATATATCCTACATAAAACACATCTTGTGATACATTTTACACATAATCTAAGTATTTGGATAAAAAAAATAAACTTAGGGGTCAAACCCGAGGAATACCCACTGTGGATTCTACTTTTTACTTTTATTTTCTTTCGCAGAATTGTAAATTGAAAAGTATCGAAATGAAAAATGAATGCCATACCAAGGGAAGTAACTCAGAAAAACTCATTTATGTTGCTTTGTCGTCTGTATACAATACAAGAGGGGGTCAGTCTTGTATAAATTGGTATAAATGATAACATGGCCACCTCTCTAAGAACTCTTTCAAGTAATCTAACCTATTTATTATGAAACATCCCTGAAACAGCGGGAACGGGGCAAGGGTTAATAGTATATAGATAAATTAAGGCGGTGATTTCTGGGACACAGATATTTGAGTTATGGACTCACGTTTTTCCCCAAAGGACTAGCTCACGTTTTAAAAACTCACTATATCTTCTGGTAAAGAGACCTGGCAACATGAAAAAGATGTTCAGGACCCCTTTGAAAAACTCAAAATCTTGGGGAATGATGACTGGGCAGAATAGGGAAAGAGAATTGAAAGTTTGAAGGACTCCTCCGTAAGTATGTGTGAAATAGTCAAATCTTCAAAAAATCACCCAGTTATTTGCCCACCTTGAATAATTTTTCTTCAAAAACCGAAGTCGCACAATATCCCCATTTATGTACAGGTAGGGCTGTATATATTGTCCAACACTTTACGTCCCCCCACTGAACCTTCATTGTTATTACCGATATATCAAATATTGTAAACAGACCTGTCGAGATTGAGCTCAATAGCGAGTTTTTTTCTAAAAATGTTTAAATAGTCCATTTGGTTGTTTGGTGACGCCTTTCCCCCACAGTGCTGTTGTGTTACCAACTCGGCTATTCCTGTATTCAACAGCTTTCTCCTCCAACACGTAAAGACAGTTCGTCTTTGATTTGTGGAGATTGAAAAACCTAAATATTCTGTTCCTACATATAACGTGAAAAACCCTTTGCAAGACCATGACATGTTAAACGTTATATTTACTGGATATTTAATGAAAATATTATGCATTTATTATTATTTGAAACATTTAACGGCATTAAATGCATTCAGCTGTTTACTGAACTAAACATTAACCAGAATATCCCCTGAAAGTGATAAGCTAGACTGGCCACCGTCTCTAGAATATTGAATTATTAAGAAACAAGTTTAACTCAAAAATGTTTGATCACTTGGATGTCTGATTCAGCTAGTAGTAAAATGCAGCTGAGGAATTCTTCATAAAAACTTCGGGGATGGTAGTCAGTCTAGTGATCAGCATACATTCTCCATTCTCAGGTCTCGGCCCCATTATTCTTTTTATAGAAGAAAGCGTTAAGTGTCGATTTTCGATTCAATGTACGTGTTCCTGTGTCACTCAAATCTACATTTGCCTATCCCCTGAACTTTTGATAAAATTGCCGACCCAATGATGTTAAATTATGAGCTTCTATATATATATACAGACAATCATTCGGGATGGCATTTTACCTTTTTGTTGAGGAATTTTTATAACAAAATGTATAAAAGAAATATTGAAAACTACATCTGATCTATAGATATTACTCAGGAAAACTGAATTAAATTCTTTAGTTAATAAAGAACATACTGTATTTTACTCCATTAACGAAAAGTATTAGGAAACTATTTGACAAATTACCTTTTCAAACACATTTCTACAGGGATTGCTTCCCCTTGCCCATATTCAAAATATTGATAGTCTTAAAGACCATCCTCGATATCCAGGGGTTACGCTCACTTTTGCTCTCTGCCCCCCCTGGAATCATCCTCAATATCCAGGGGTTACGCTCACTTTCGCTCTCTACACCCCTGGAATATGTCAAAAAATATTTGAAGGCACGAAGCTAGCTGTTTGATTACAGGTCTCGGGTAAAGAAAAAAATGACTTATCGCTAGGCTGATACCTGTCCTTTGAAGATTACAAAGGAGAGACGCCCGACTTCAAAGCCTGTCAATTTTTACCGTTACGTGACCGCGAGATTCATTTGATGTACATCAAAGGATCAAACTCGTCTTCTTGTCTCATCAACAAGGTGGCGCACACCAAGCCTTCAATTTTGCTATGACATATTCTAGGGGTGCAGAGAGCGAAAGTGAGCGTAATCCCTAGATATCGAGGATGGTTAAAGACAGGCGCGAAAGCCACAAGTATATCAAGTTTAGTGAGCATGGGTGAAATTTTATTTAGTTTTTGTGTATTATCTTAGCTGTCAGATGCAGGTTAGTCCGCATCTCATTCCAGGGATGTATGCTTTCGATGTTGTTGTGTGACAAGGGTTCCCAGAGTGTCATAGCTTTTAGAACTATAGATAGTATACCTATCATCGAACGACATTAATTACGAAAAATGAAGTTGTTTTAAGTTTAAGGAAAATGACAAAGTAGTTAAATGGCGTAAAATGAAAATAAAAATTGTTTGATTATATATTCGTTCGGTAGAACTGATGTACACCACATGCGAGTTAAATCAAATGACAAAAAATGAACTTGGACTCGTAATTATCACGACAATGTGTAAATGTCCAAAAACCGCCTGTTTTCGTGCTGGTCATATGACTGCCTGGGAAATTAACAAAACGCTGACGGAAAAAAATATCGCGATCAAGTTTAACAATAGATTCCTTCCCAATACCAATTTATTATGTATATCGTTGTTTAAATCTAAAGTTATCAAGGTACATGTACTACCTCTGACTTTTGATGAAATTTTTAATTTGAAAGCTATTGATGTTGTTAAGAGATAACACGTAATATTGAACATGAAATACGTGTTTGTATCCTGTTCTAGATATGTCGTACGTATATGTAATGTATACGTCTCTGATGATCAGGTGACATCACCTTTTGAAGGAGAGATTTTCTAGAAAGCAGGGACTGGAACGCTATCACAGTAATGTTAAAGTTTACCTGTGTGACAGTTTGCCATCGAAGATATTATATACATAGTATCTATTCATCATTGATTCATGATATAAAAATCCATTGGTGTCCATGATATAGCCTTGTAAATAAAATAAAAGATGGGCAATTCGTTACATGAATAAGTATGTGATGGTGGTACAACGCCTATACTAAGATCGTTGTAAGATCGCGGTCACTATTATGTATAGGGGTCTATATATAATAAACAAACCACAATCTACCGTTACTTAGGATTATATTTAGTATGCTTCAAACCTAAATCACTCAACCGTAAGCAGACGAAACCCTGCTATCCCCACAGTGTGATATATAATCTGCTTTATTATCTACACCTGAACAGACATGAACAGTACAAGTGTTAACTATGCCAAGTCTCATAGGCCTTAGTACGATATATATATACAGAGACGTGAATGCACCTTATTAAACAAACTCATCTTATAATTATAATTATTCCCATGCGTCATAATAATTTGGATGATTACTGTGACCACTAAAACACTAAATAGTACAACAGTATGCCCGCACACTGAGGTAGACAACATGTACCGAGGCAGTGTATCTGACTGGAGAGGGAGGTGTGCAGCAATTCACAGAAGAGAAGTTAAAGATAACATCTTGTTGTACAGGTCATCATAACTACAAGTAAACACGCCAACGGAAGATTTCGGAAACAATCATTCATTGGCTGTAACAGAGACGTATAATATTTCTAACCAGGAAATTAAAATGAGGTTGTTACAATACCTGCAAAGTTTGATAATTGAGCTCTGAAAATACACTTTAAAATAACCATGTGAAAATGGCGGCTGTGATGTGCGAGAGTTAATTCCTTTCATGACACCGGCACTCCTTTCTCGTTCATCTTTTTATTTCAAAAACGTATTCAGATATAACATTATATTTCTAACCAGCTTCTTTATATGATCCATATATCTAGGATAAGTGACATGTTGACACGAACTAACGAATACACGATCGAACTCTCACACAGGTAACTCACTGACCAGACTATCGTCACCAGGTCGATAAGCTGTCAAAACAAACACTCGTAGATCATGCGTGATTTTGCGAGATCAGCGAGAGTTGCCAATCTCTGTATTTATATGTCTCTGGCTGTAAATACGTTACCTTTGTCAGAGAAACAACCATTTATAATATAAATGACAGCCCTATAACTGCATCAATGAGACAAACTGCATAGTTTATATTGCTATCTTGTTGTTTATAACACTAACACAATGGAATGGAAACTTGTTGGATAAAAGAAACACGAATATTTAACCTTTTCAGAACACTGAACTAATAAATGTTGGTTGGATGCGTATTACTTAAATAGATACATGGTCAAAGAAGTAATAACGACAGTGCAGACAAAGGAATTTGTCCAATTTTCAGGGCAAGTACCTCCCTATTACAATCACCTCTATATAGGCTCACCAGGGGAAATATTTGTTTTTGTCGACAGGACAAGAACACAACTTTAACATATATTTATGTTGTTTTGTTGTCTTGGCAACTTAAATAAGCAACCTCTAAAGAGGTGAAATACTAGAGAAGTACTAAGGAACTCTTCTGTCAATTCTTTTATATTTAAACATCACAAGGACTTTGGATGTTTTTTGCGTATGTATATATATCTATACAACTACAGAGTTTGTCCTTGCGTCTAAATGTCCAATGAATGTCATCGAACATAACACATGGTTTATGTCATCGAACATAACACATGGTTTATGTCATCGAACATAACACATGGTTTATGTCATCGAACATAACACATGGTTTTGACAAAGGTAACATGCACAAATTTACAGACAATCAATTTGGAATAAAAAAAATTGGGAATGCAAATTAATTGATTAACAGTTTTTTTTTTTATATCTGGAATAATCTAGTACCTTTCTGGTCTTCCATGTAAAAAGTATGTTATCTTCAGTCTATGTGTGTAAACATACACGACAGTGATCACACAGACACTCTAATTACATTTTTACGAATTCCTCCCCTCGCCTCTCTCCAGCTAGTCTACCGGTACCCGGCGTTGATACACACTATGACCGCTGCCTTACGTCAATCAAAGACAATGCTAGAAAACAATATCTGTCACGTATGCTTTATCTAATTCTGACTATAGCTATACTTGTAAGATCATAGTATGTAGACCGTATGTATCCGTTGCTGATTATATATGTGACGTTGAAATATTAAAACGACTATTGATTTCCAGGTGATAATGGAAATTAACCTCACGGATCTTGTTTATTTCACAATCCTATGTGTAACAGGTTTGATAGTGGAATATTTCGACGTAATTTAAAATGTGTCACACTGTGTAGGGAAAACCCGATGGTGTGCAACCGACCGTGTCGGGACCCAAAGGTGTGCCATGGTTTACGTATATATGTAGAGGACTACACCTGTGCTCGGTTTTGCTGTTTACGAACTGTCACTGACTATACAGGTGAGTAGGGATGTTGATATCACAGACAGATGATACAATCCTTAGGCATGTACGGGTGATGGGGCTGGGGTGTCGGTATGTCGGGTATGTCATTGTAACGAACGATCTACTGATTCAGTGGCGGAACCAAATTTCCGGGGGGGGG